CTTTGATGCAACTTGGTCAACCAGTAGCCTACGCATCTAGGGCTCTATCGCAGACTGAGCAACGTTATGCTCAAATAGAGAAGGAGTGCTTGGCAATAGTCTTTGCATGTGAACATTTTGATCAGTACATTTACGAAAGAGACTGTGTCACAGTTCAGTCCGACCATAAGCCACTCGAGAGTATTTTCAAGAAATCCGTATTAGCAGCTCCGAAACGTTTACAAAGAATGTTGCTTCATCTACAGAAGTACAATTTGAAAGTTACGTACACAAAGGGCAGTGAACTGTTTATTGCAGACACCCTTTCTAGAGCATTTCTGATGGACAAGGAGTACATATTCAGCACATTTGCACAGGAAATCTCGCAAATTGACCAAACTGAATGGATACCAAAAATTAGTGCATCAAGATGTCAACAGAGTAGGGATCTGACGAACCAGGATCCAGTTCTACAGACACTCAAGACTGTCATTCTTACCGGCTGGAAGGAACATCATGAAGTCCCAGTTGCGGTTAGAGACTACTGGAATATCAGAGATGAGTTGACAGTTCAGGACGGACTGATATTCAAGAGCAACCGAGTCTTGATTCCTGAAGTTCTACGTCCGGAGATGCTCAGCCGAATCCATTCTAGTCACATTGGAATCGAGGCATGTTTGAGGAAGGCGAGAGATGCTGTATTTTGGCCGAACATGTCATCTGAGCTTCGTGACTTCATATCCAAATGCAGTACCTGCAATGAAAAGCAAGACAAGCAACCAAAGCAACCCCTTATTACACACAGTGTACCCAAGCGACCATGGGCAAAGCTATGTGTTGATATATTAACCTATCAGAGTCAAGACTATCTAGTGACAGTAGATTACTATAGTGACTTTTTTGAATTGGATATCCTTACAGACACATCAGCAGCGACAGTGATAGATTGTCTAAAGCAGCAGTTCTCTAGACATGGGATACCGGATAGTTATTTTGGACAATGGACCCCAGTTCAAATCTGCAGATTTTCACACCTTCGCTTGTGATTGGGAATTTGAACATTCTACATCATCTCCATATCACCGCCAATCAAATGGCAAGGCAGGATCAGCAGTAAAAATCGCGAAAAGATTAGTGAAGAAGTGTATTTGTAGCAAAACAGACATTTGGAAAGCTTTACTAGATTGGCGCAGCACACCAACAAAGGATATGGACTGCAGCCCCGTACAGAGACTTATGTCTAGGAGGACACGCCACTCGTTACCAACAGCGACAATTCTGTTAGAACCCAAGGTCATCGAGAATACACACGAGAAGATTATGCGCAAGAGGCAGATATCCAAGCAGCAATTTGACAAGCATACCAGGAATCTACCAGAACTACATGTTGGAGAAAACGTACGCATGAAGAAACACCCGAACGATAAAATCTGGAAATTCGGCACATGTACCGAATCCCTTGGAAACCGGTCCTACATTATCAACAGCGATGGGAAGTCGTACCATAGAAACCGAATAGACATCAAACCAACGGCAGAAGCTTACGACGCAAACAGATCCGATTCGTACAAGTCAGATGATGACCCTTTCATTATTGCTGGTGGAAGTCCAAACACTGAGAGTGCGACCATGCCTATGGATCCGAAACCACAGATGCCTTCGAAATCCCCAACAGGGATCAAAACATCTCGCGCCACTAATAGTGCAGTGACCACTCCAAACAAAGCGCGCAGCAATTCACGACCTGTGAAATTACCAGCAAAGTTTAAGGACTATGTCATGACCTAGACTTTTCATTCATGTACATGTAACTCATTCATTTGTGACAGTCATTATGATATGTTTATGATATGTTTTATAATATCCATGCATTTTTGTTTATCAGTACTGAACAATTTGATAGTACATGTATATTCATGGTATTGTGTTCCCTAGTCAACAAGATTTAAACTTTTTGTTTGATATTCTGATCTAATGCATTAAGATGTTTTGAATTATTTAAAGTGATTGTCCATACACAATACTTTTAATTGTCAAGAATGGTAAAAATTTTCCCCATTTATCTATTGTGTAAAAGCTCATTTCACCAAGTACGGTATTAATTTTACAATTGATTTGCAAATTTGGAAAATTGAATGATTTTGTCCATTGACTTTATATAACATACTTTCAATTTAAAGAAAGGGGGATGTTAGGTATTTTAGTATTACCCTGTACATGTGCACAAGTAGTGCTTACGTCATTGATTATTGAGTTTCAACAATAAACTTGTTAACAGGGCCATAAAATTCACAATTTTGGTAGAAGCACTCTTGCTCATCATAACTATGTACTTAGTTAGTTTATTTAATACCCAGGAGCAGAGAAGAAGATTTTCAAAGAATTCATGTATGTTCACTATATAATCTATAGAGCCCCGCCCTAACACCAGAACCCCTGACCCTGGGGCCATAAAATTCTCAATTTTGGTAGAGGCACTCTTGCTCATCATAACTATGTACTTAGTTGGTTTATTTAATACCCAGTAGCAGAGAAGAAGATTTTAAAAGAAATAATGCATTTTCACTAAATACTTATTTAGCCCCGCCCTAGCACTAGAACCCCTGACCCTGGGGCCATGAATTTCACAACTTTGGTAGAGGACTCAATGCTAATTACAATCATACTAACAGTTTGACCGCTTGACGTCCAGGAGTAAAGAAGTAGATTTTCAAAGATTGCACTAATTTTAGTGGTTTTTGCCCCACCCCCAGGCCCCAGGGTTGCAGGGACCATAAAATTCACAATTTTTGTTCCCCTTCACCCATAGATGCTTTGTGTCAAATTTGGTTGAAATTGGTTCAGTGGTTGCAGAGAAGAAGATGAAAATGTTCAAATGTTAACACACGACGCACAACACACGACGCACGACGACGGACGAAAACAGATAGCAATAGGTCACCTGAGTTTACTCAGGTGACCTAAAAACTGAAAAATCTCCCTAATCATCAACTCTATGTTTTATACAAGTTTTAGAGATAATGAAAAACAGACAAGAGGATCGTGGCTCTCAATAATTTTGGCAAAGCTGTTCATCAGATTATCCGTGTAATACCTACCGTAATACCTACTGTAATACCGGCCGTACCCCGGGGGTCATGATTTGAACAATTTAGAATTTACACCATCCCACGATGCTTGCACATAAGTTTAAGCTTTTCTGGGCCAGTAGATCTTGAAAAGATTCCATAACGACATCACCCTGTTTTTTGGTGGTGGTGGTGGTGGGGTGTTTTTCTTGATTATCTGCCTTTGTAAGGGGACTTGGTCCTTCGTTTTAACAATTTAAACTCTCCTAAACTCAGGGATACTTTGTACGAAGATTGGGTAAATAAAAAGTGCTAAAAATTTTAAACATCTGTAATGTTGCTGAGAAAACTGACGAAACTTTGTTATGTATGGTACAGTTTGATGCACGAATTAAGAGGAAGTTATCATCGGATTTGTACAAAAAAATCACCATATGGCATGCCTTAGCAAAACTGAGTGTTCTAAACTGTCAAGCATTTTTGATGAGTAGGCCTAGTTGAGAAAACTGCGACGCAAAATTTGTTTGGACGGCTACAGACATAAACAGACACACACAAGGGTAAATTATAATTGTTAAAACTTCTGAACAAAAGATGATATACTTATCCGGTATGAATCTTGTTTGATATTTGACGCACTTTTAATTTTTTTTCAATGGTGCGTTTATTTATGTTCTTATTTCAACGCATTTAATATGTTTTCAAAGTGCGTTGCCACAAGGCTTACTTAATGTTAACATTGAAATGTTCAAGTAGCACAAATTACCATGAATCGTTATTTTCGAAACAATGTTTTACTTCTCGTGTTTATCTACAAAACGGGTAAAGGTTAAATAAAACATATCTTTAAATCGTTGAATCTTCTTAATATCCCAAAAATTATAGATGTAGAACAATAACTTATAGTATCGGAAAACTTATCATGGTACAATGCTAAATAGTTGATCAGATAAATGAATCATATTATCTATATGCGGTATGTTATTGATTGTATGTTGTTTAACGCCCCTCTCGGGAATTTTTCACTCATATGGAGACGCCAACACTTGCCGGTGGAGAACTACAAATTATGCCCTATACTCGGCACTCAGTCCTCATATAATTATTACATGTATTATATTTATTACGCAGATTTTAGAAAAGTCAATCAAAATATTTGCTCCTTATTGACAGGAAAGCCTGTGAATTTTATAACTCATTCTATCTGCGACCCCGAGTGACTTAGTTATTCGCCGGAGAGCAAGTATTCAAGTATAATCGCTAGTAAAGACACAAGTAATGAAGCATTTCTAAAATAAATTATTTTAAAATGGGGTTTTCTGAATAGATAGTGACTTCGTTTGGGAAAACGATACCTCGCTTAGTATATAACGCCTTTATATCTCAGTGATATGCCTCTTGAAAGGCAAAATAGGGCCTAATCGCATTACACCTTTCCTCACATTATTGAATCATTTCACTTTGCGTCATTATGCATTTTATACCCCTCTTCCCTAATTTATCCAAGTATGGTTTCGAAGCGTATAATACCCAGAAGTTGACTAATATTCATAAGTATTATGAATATTAATTATGAGTATTATAATTATTTGGTATCTAAGTTTAGGATTAACTTCGTCCTGGGGAGGAAAAACTTATTTACCAATGGAATCAGAGTCTGTTTGATGAACTGAAAGATGAAAATGTTTTTTTTTATTTCTTGGGAAAAAAATACAATGTTAAAGACAAGTACATATGCACAGAAGAAACAAACATACATTTCTTGAACAAAGTATGCACAGAATTCTTAAAATTTGCGATAATCTAAAATCAACGCTCCGTAAGTCAGTGGTCCTCAATTTAAACGGCAGTGTACATTGTTTCCGTGTAGGTCCCGTACACATGCGCTAGGCGTCTTCCTGGATCACCGGTTATGCGTCGCCAAATGTTCAGTAGACCTGTATCACCAAAAAAAATCACACCATTACTTTCTAAGAACATTCTTAATACATTTTCAAAATCGATAGGATTATTTTAAGTGTAACTTAGATGTTTAGCCACATGCATAGCATATTTTAGGTTTTTTGTATGCGCTGATGAATAAAGCTATTATAGTCACACAGACAATGCAACAGTGTTGCAATCCTAAATCACTACCTACCAACAGAGTTCCACCCTATGTTTTCAAGATCAATCGATGATGAGAACAAAATCCTCGCCGAAAATATATATATATACTCGTAGATGAGACCTTGCTGATGACAGAAAGCATTTGTTTGCTGGTAAACGCCACATACAAACATAGATATCTTCTTTGTTGTTGTAGGAAGGGGGAAGGGTTATAAAGTTTGCCTTTAGATTGTCTTATTGACAAATATTTTACCAAATCTACAAATAATTATTGTAATAGTCGAACTTCATTCAGAACCGAGTTTTAGCGACATACTTATAGTTTCACTCTATTACTAGCGTAGAGTTGTGTACTTCTCTCTAGTTTTTCATTAAATAAATGAATTCTTTCCGTAATTCGAGCATTTCCTCTTTGCGATTGTGAGTAAGATGCATCATGGTCATATTGTGTGTGTGACATGCATTAGAAATTAACACCTTTATCTAACCTATCTCTAGGGAAATATATAATTATGACAATGGTCGAAGTCAAAACAGGGACAGGAAAACTAATGCGACATTCTAACAGCTTACTGCGCATGCTTCATCACATACCGTGTGGTTTTGCTACGCTGCGTATCACGATGCTCTATTCTATAATGTTCAAACCCTATATAGAGAAATATACCAAGTATCAAGGACTGCACGTTATAGAATGTCTTTGGCATTACTGCGTAGAAACCATAGATTTTTGTACTCTAAATACTACGGGTTTGAAATACTTTAAATATGAATAAAGCTACCTTGTTTGAAATTTTCATTGAATCCTGCATAAATCAATGGATTCAGGGCACTGTTGGAATAAGCCATTGTGTATGCAGCAAATTCAAACTTGTAGTACCAATCCCCGAGCTGTTAATGAAAAGAAGGACAAAATATTTTTCCTTAGTTATTGTAGAAGTAAACTATTTCAGAGTACTTCTTTAAAAGGAAAATATTCGTAAAATGAATTGAATGACCAATATCTTTATTTTCCTTGCAAATTGAATATGATACTGTTGACGACTTTCTTTAGAAGATGAAGATTTACATTCTGGATTATCAAACAGTAATGGGTTTTTCGCGTAGCTTTTATATCAAGTCCTGCCCAGATCAAGTTTTCTCTACAAGAACAGACATTTGATGTGAGATTTCGCATTATTTCATTACTTTTTCAGCAATTCTGTCAAGCACGTAGTGTCTGGGGGAGGATTTCTAAGGTAAGTTGACAGAAATTTTTCCGTCCCTTTTTAAAAGTATATTATATATTTATATTAACTTTTAGTTCTTGTTGGGATTAGAGGCTGCGGTTTAACAGAAAATTATGTATATTTATTTAACAGATTTAGTTATGAACTGAAAACTGTTTTACTGATTGAAGGTGAAAAATTAACTACTTATGATAAAGTATCTTTCTAACCTTGCTTCTGTTGCCCCTGAGTTCTGTATAAAGTAACATGACCTGACAAGGTAGCCAGCATACACAAAACACGGCCAGGATGGTAATCAACATAATGATAATCTGGAAAAATAAATTACATGCTTGTACATGTTGGTAAGTAAAACAATTCTTAAAGTGTTATTAATGGTCACATTATATCGGTCTCTAATACAATGAAAATTAAATTAACATTGCTATTTGTTCATGCTTTGAAACCAATTAGATTTTATTATTTAACATGAAATCATTATAATTCCGTGTCGTTTCAGGTGCGTGAGATACGATTCTTGAAAAATACGTCAACAAAATATCTGGAAAGGTCTTGTCATTGGTAATGCATACATGAAATATGAGAACGTATCTTTTCTCTTCCAAATGTATTTTTTAAGTAGACCAAACTTCAACATTGGTAGGTCAAATGCATTGACAAATTTGGAAATAATGCACGTTTGAAATATGAATCACCGTTAATGCACGTACAAAGTATGAAAGCCCAGTTTTCTCCTTCAGATATTGGAAACCAATATGTATATGAATGAAAAAAGTAAAGGAAAGGAACAGAGATCGGTCTCAAAACAAAATCAATACATTTAGGTGAACAGGGCTTAAACATGGAGCCCGGAAATTCCAGAGATGAGATCAGGTGCCTAGTAGGAGTAAGCATCCTCTATTGACCGGTTACATCCTCCATGAACTCTGTGTATTGATCTGGTAAACGGAACATCAGTTAAGTATAAAACCAGCATAAAATAAAGGCCTAAAAATATTTGTTTGAAACCAAGTCGGCCAATATCAGGCTATATCTGCTAAAAATGTCATTACACAAAATTTGGACATCAAACGAGGTTGTTTAAATCCCTGTAACATCAACTTCAGTGTAAATAGCCTGTCAAGGTTTAAAAATTGATTGTCTTCAGAGCATGATCTCGAGTAGCGAATACGTTTGGAGACATAAACAACATTTCCCGGTAAAAGCGGAATATTACTACATTTATCAGCCAGGTATGTTTACGATGGGACTTGATATATATACGCTCTGGGATTTTACGGGACATATATAAATTTAAACAATTGTATAATTATATTGGTTTTTGCTACTCATGTAAATATCAGTAGGTTTTACGTATAACTGCATTTAGGATTTAAATGGTTGTTTTTAAATATACAATTTTACAAATGCAGACACGGCTTCGCCTATTTAAATGCTAGTCTGACCTCATGACCCAGACATTCACGGTTACATGTATGTTTTAATTATGACCGCAACGTGAACAGTATCACCATCACAATGTATCAATTTGTAAACAATTGGCACCAGCCGTAGTCTTAATACTGCCTAGAAATTAACACTGGCAGTCACAGTAATATTCTTGTTAATTATTTCCACATCGAAGAATTTCTGTCAGACCCTCTATCAAAAGATCCATTGTTTTTCCAAGGTGTTCAAAATTCTTTTTTTTATTATCGTACATGTAGAATTGATAGGGAGCAATGACTGGTGATTCACTGTACAATTGTAGTCTCAAGTTTGTAACGGAATATAAAAGCGAAAATAAAAATTTGATACAGGATTAAAGTTTTGGAATTGTTTATTTGTTTTGTTATTGTATAATTTATAAATAAAAGTTTAAATATTTCATTTTTTTCAGTCGCAAATCGCAGTGGTAAGAATATTTGGAGTCGCTGAGGTGATCTTTGTGACGAGAGTTTGAATACCACTTCTTTTGGTAGCCCTTTTACAGCAAATGTAGACCTCCAGTGTCTTACATGTAATATCAAAATTCTCGAAGGGAATTGACGCTGGCTACTACATTTTTTTTTCGGAAGAAACAATTTTTTTCCCTCAAAACCCAAGATTTGTAAAGTTTCGGTGGCTGACCAATTTAGTGAAGTTTCGATCAAGTCAGACATTTCAAGTTTGAAGCCGAGTTTATTACAGGTTTCTAGCCCCGATTTGATTGATTTGTACTTTGATGCTTTTAATCATTAATATGACTCGCTTCATGCCTTTATTTTCTGAGTGGTATGTATACATGTAGGTGCATTTGTATTTAGTAGTTTCTTTGGAAAGAAACTTCTTGGAAAGTATATGGCAGTAATATAACGATTACAAAGAATAGATTACTTTAAAAATAAATGTGTTAAAAATTCACTTTAGATAAAAATTCCTTGAAATAACGTTAAAATAAATGATTAAAGTGAAGATTGAACTCAATATTTTTATGAGAAATGTGTGTTTGTATTACATTTTTACCTGTGAAATACTGTAATTTATTCATTGAAAATGATATCCTGTCACAGTGTGAAAGGATATCAAAATGATATCATGTCACAGTGTGACGAATATCAGAAGTGCGGGAAAACTCTCGATTTCCCTTCCCATAACGAAGATTGCTGTAAAAAAAATCTTCCTTGACCTAATATAAAGTAGATGGAAATAAATAAACTATTCTGACCGCGAATAAAACTGTCAAAATTACCAAAAAATATGTTGCTAAATCTATGTTTACCGTGTTTTTACCTCACGTAGCTATGACGTCTCAACCTCTCATCCATGACGTCAAGTACCTATGACTGTATTACGAAAAGACAGAGGCAAACGAAAAATCAAAGATTTTTTTTTTATTAAGCATTGAATTCATATTTTTGGATGTCTTCGGTCCTATAGCACACCTGGCCGTGCCGACAAATTGAATACCGCGCGTTAGCGCGATATGATAATTTGTCGGCACGGCCAGGTGTGTTATAGGACCGAAGACATCCCAAAATATGAATTCAATGCTTATATTTTCCATCTTCATAATTGTTTATTTCGTTAATCTTTAATGTGAATTTAGCGCCCTTCAAAACTGCCGTGGTTAATAGATGTAAGAGCCGTTTGTGACGTCAAATGACGTTGCAAAGTTAAATTACGCAAACAAACATTGCGAGGCAAACGAAAAATCAAAGATTTTTTTTTATTAAGCATTGAATTCATATTTTTGGATGTCTTCGGTCCTATAACACACCTTTTGGAAACAAATTGAATACCGCGCGTTAGCGCGGTGTGATAATTTGTCGGCACGGCCAGGTGTGTTATAGGACCGAAGACATCCAAAAATATGAATTCAATGCTTATATTTACATTCTCTAATTTTCCCTCTTCATAATTGCTTATTTCGTTAATCTTTAATGTGAATTTAGCGCCCTTCAAAACTGCCGTGGTTAATAGATGTAAGAGCCGTTTGTGACGTCAAATGACGTTAAATGACGTTGCAAAGTTAAATTACGCAAACAAACATTGCGAGGAAAAAAATGACAAATTTATTCTTAACGCACATTTTTTACGTTAATTTTTCAGGGTTATAGTTTTTCATTAAATTGAAATAAAACATTTTACATTTTGGTGTTCCTAGAGTATTGAAAATGCATATAGTTCCTACTGTGTATTCTAACGCGCGGTGACAAGGTTTCGCGTGTGTTTTAGAAATTTGAATGTCGTGGATTTCTAATGGATTTCATAAGGAAAATTACACTGAATGTAAATATAATGTAATAAACAGAAAATTCAGTGTTTTGTAGTTGAATATGAAATTTATTTCACTCGTGAGACAGGATTTTTTTTATATTTTCACTCGTGCTTCGCACCAGTGAAAATATCAAAAATCCTGTCCCACTCGTGCAGTGAATTCCATTCAACTACAAAACATTGAATATCCTTTATATATGCTCGAAATGAAAATTTTATAAATGTTCATACATCTTAAGATTTTAAACGTTATCAAACGCTAAGACGTGATGTGGCGATAAGTGCTATATAAATCATTCACAACGAACAGTCATCGATTTCGTACAGCAATAACTTTACAACCGTGCATGCTCAACGAGACTTAAATTAATTATATTATATAAGATTATTTTCGTAATTTTCATTGGCTGAAAGTACGTCATGTGATATTCCTCCTTTTGTGATAACGACGCAAAAGCGCGTCGGCGGAAAATGATAACGCACGACACAGCGTTCGGTTGCACTGAAGTTACGTAAAACGTGACGTCATAGTATGAGAAGCGTGTTTTTAACCATTGTGACGTAATGACAGCCAAGTCTGTTTAGTTAGGACTGTGTCAGTGCATTCACTTTGAGTGTTTATATAATATAACTATTATGGACTTCAGTGAACGGTCAATATGTGGTTATAAGGACTCATGGCAACTGATATTGACCTCAGAAACAGAAAATGATAGCGACCTCGCAGGCTCGGTCGCTATCACTTTCTGTGTCTTCGGTCAATATTAATTGCCATGAGTCCTTATAACCTAATATCGACCTACACTGAAGTCCATAATTGTATATTAATAACCAGAGGTCTCTGTCGAGACTGAAGCTCTACTGGTTTGTACTTATAGCAAAGGAAGAGAAAAGTACTTAAGGTAGGATTCTTCTCACATTTCTTGTATTTAAAAATTAATGAAATTTTCACAGAATCAAGAGGACAATATCACTAAGTGATGGTATCAGTGAGATTGAATTTGACCGTTTAATATTAGAGGCAAGGTCAGGTCAAGGTCATTACCTTTTTCCTGGACATTAAGAATAAAAAAAATACTGTTTCCAATCATCCAATCCCTACTTATAATTCAAAAGATTGAATGTTTTTCTTTTTGCATAAAAAGATATTACCATATAGGGCCTATAAGATGATATTACCAAATTGACATGGATAATTTGAATAAAATGGATATTTGCTAATCCGAATTTCCTCTACTTTTCTTAAATTTTTAGGATTTATTAGTTATTTTTATATGCTTCCTATATTTAACTTTTTCCAATTTTCACATATGGTAAAGTTATCACATAAAGGTACAAAATGATACAAAAACTAAAAGTTTTGATCGTTTACTAGGAGAGAAATAACACTTTTTACGGATTTTTGGCTCAAATCTGTACTTAGACTTGAAGCATTTAAAAGCCAACATAGGTCTAGTATGTGTGAAAAATCTTATTTATTTGATATAATTTGACACTTTAGTCCCTTATTATTAATTTAACTTACATTTGAAAATTTTATCTAGTCTTCGATTGCGTAAAAATTATGACTAAG